AGGGAGCCCGATGTGGGGCTCGATCCCAGGACCCTGGGATCATGACCCGAGCTGAAGGCAGATGCTTAACGACTGAGCCACCCAGGCGCCCCTAAAAGATTTATTTATTATTCATTTGAGAGAGAGAGACAGCGAGAAAGGGAACACAAGCAGGGGGAGTGGGAGAGGGAGAAGCATACTCCCCACTGAGCAGGAGCCTGATGCGGGGCTCAATCCCAGGACCCTGGGATCATGACCTGAGCCGAAGACAGACACTTAATGACTGAGCCACCCAGGCACCCCCAAAATAGAAATTTGAGGTTATTCTCCTACCCAGGCTCTTCAGGTGGCTCTCCAGTGTTCTTTAGGATAAAGACAAAAGCTCTACCATAACCTACAAAGCATCATTTAACCTAGCCCCTGCCCACCTCCGGGATAGGGCTGTAACTTTCAATTCCTCGAGCTCTCCATTCTATTTCCTTCTTAGAATCCCCTACCTCATCCCAGCCACTACTCTTTTTTGCCTACTTTTTCTTTCTTCAGATTTCAACTGCCTCTTCCTCAGATTCTTCTCTAGCAAGTCAGGCTCCATTTCAGGACCTGTGGCTCTCTCATGGTATTCAATAGAGCTGTAATTTTACATGTGTTTATACATCTGAGTACTATTTATTTATATATTTATTTATTTTCCTAGGTAATCTGTACACCCAATGTAGGGCTTGAATTCATGACCCCGAGATCAAAAGTTGGATGCTCTACTGAGTGAGCCAGCCAGGCATCCCGTATCTGAGTAATATTTCCCTGTCCCTCTCCTACTGCTCATCCATGTTCCAGGGAGCATATCTGTTATTACTCATCATATGCTCAGTATCTAACACCTAGCACTCAGTAAATGTTTGTTGAATGTTCTTTAAAGATTTTATTTGAGAGAGAGAAGGGGGGGGGCAGAGCAAGAGGGAGCAAGAGTCTCAAGCAGACTCCGCACTGAACATAGAGCCCAATGGGGGCCTCGATCTCATGAGCCTGAGATTACGACCTGAGCTAAAGCCAATAGTCAGGCACTTAGCCAACTGCACTACCCAGGCACCCCACTGAATGTTCTTCATTAATATCTTTGGGAAAGGAGGGAATAGAAGCACAAAGAGGAGACAGAATTTCCCAGATCGTGTAGAGGGAAACTGTAAAGAAATGCAACTATTACTCAGGGAATAGTTTGTGAAAAAGATGAAGAGGGATTTGGATCTGGTAGCTGGAATAGTGACTTCATATTCATTGATCTGCAGTCTTGCCATAAACTTGGAAACCAGTTTAATTATTCCATTTTAGAAATGTAGCACTTGTAGGACTTTGTTTTTTGAACATATTGCCTCACTGAATCATGTTTGAAATGGAACCCAGTTAAGACAAGTGTTAAACCGTTTTAGCCCACACTAGGTGTAAAAGCGCTGACTGGCTATTAGAAAGCTCTTGGCACGGGGCGCCTGGGTGGCTCAGTCGTTGAGCATCTGCCTTCGGCTCAGGTCATGATCCCGGGGTCCTGGGATCGAGCCCCGCGTCGGGCTCCCTTCTCGGTGAGAAGCCTGCTTCTCCCTCTTCCATTCCCCCCTGCTTGTGTTCCCTCTCTCGCTGTCAAAATAAATAAAAATCTTTAAAAAAAAAAAAAAAAAGAAAGAAAGCTCTTGGCACATTAATACCCTATCCTTTGGTTTTAGCTAAAAAGCATTTAGTGCCTTTATGTGTCAGGCGCTAAGATTTTATATGCATTGTCTGAATTATCACATACAACCCTGGGAGGTAGATACTAGTATCTCCTTTATAGATGAAGAAACTGAGGCACAGAAAGCTTATGTAACATGCCCCAGAGTTTCCCATGTGTAGTAAGAGAATCCAGAACTTGAAATTCAGAGCCTCAGTTCTCAAATATACTTCTAGATATGCCGTCCAAGGGACACCTGGTGGCTCAGTCAGTTAAGTGTCTGCCTTCAGCTCAGGTCATGATCCCAGGGTCCTGGGGTCTAGTTCCACATCGGGCTCCTTGCTCAGCAGGGAGCCTGCTTCTCCCTTTGCCTGCTTGTGTGCGCGTGCTCTCGCTCTCTCTGACAAATAAAAAATAAATTTTAGATATGCCGTCTAAAAGTCAACCCCTAGGGCGGCTGGGTGGCTCAGTTAAGTGTCTGCCTTAGGCTCAGGTCATGATCCCGGGGTCCTGGGATCGAGCCACCATCGGGCTCCTTGCTTGGCAGGGAACCCGCTTCTCCCTCTTTGTGCTGTCAGATAAATAAAATCTTTAAAAATAAATAAAAGTCAACCCCGAGAACCTTTATTTTCTCCCATCTCCAGAGACTGACTCAGATGATGACATCTCTGACTGCAGCCAAATACTTCTTCAGTGCTTAGGATGTCCCTCAGAATCTTATTTGAACCAAAAATTCTTAGCCAAATTGATTCTCATTCCAGTCTGCATCAAACTAGAAATTAATTAGGAAGGAGGGAAAAGGCTTGTAGATGGAAATAGAGTGGTGCCCAGAGAAATGACTCCTGGCAGCCTGACACCAGCAGCAGAGTGGTTCTATCTGGTCTAAGGGCCAATAAAGAACGGCGTTTCTCCGGTGCTGCCATAGTGCTTTCCATTAAATTGCTTTTTATTAGCATTTCCCACAGTTACTGGTTAAAGTGCTTTGTGAGCCTTTCTCAACCAGGATTTCATCTGAACCAGAACACATAAAGATTCAAATGATTTTTTTCAATGCTTCCCAGGATAGTATATAATTAATATTAGCCCGTATTTTATTATCTATCCCATAATTATATTAGTCCATAGTTGATTTATTTTATTTTTTAAGATTTTACTTATTTGAGAGAGAATGAGAGAGCACGAGAGGGGGTAGGTCAGAGGGAGAAGCAGACTCCTTGCCGAGCAGGGAGCCCGATGTGGGACTCGATCCAGGGACTCCAGGATCATGACCTGAGCCGAAGGCAGTCGCTTAACCAACTGAGCCACCCAGGCGCCCGTCCATAGTCGATTTATTATCAAAATGGGTGTCCTATAGTACTTGGGCTAAATTCTCTTGTAGAACCCTGAGAAAGAGGAAGTGAGATAGACATTTAGTCAGTCAGCAACTGATAGGCACCTGGTCCAGTTTGGAGTTTTATGCATGATTCTGAGGTCAAGAAAAGTTAAGCAACTTGCCACGTGAACCACTGATGTGCCACGCTCACAGAGACGCTGGGTTCAGTAGCCTATGATTATGAAAATAGGAAGGTGTGAGTTTCTTCTGCAAACAACTCCATCATAAACAGTATAACTAGGTGAAAATGTGTGGCATTTAAGGGAGTGAATTTTTTCTGGAAAACATTACTTACATAGGAAACCTGATTATCAAATGAGTGAATAAATCATCTGCTATTACATCTGTGGAGAAGCAGTAGCTTTTAACCACCTGTTGGTGGTAGTAGAGTCTCACTGCATCAAACTCTCCAAGCGCCAGGAACACTCCTCTGGTATGTAGGGGCTAGGCAGGTATTGTGTGCTTACGGCAGGTTAAGTGTGGAGGTATACTCTGAATGAGGAGAGGTGACTGAGGTGTGCCCAGGTGCACTAACTCTTTCTGAAAGGAGCAGGTGCTATTCAGCACCCACCTCTTACTGCAGTGAGAATGCAGGTCCTGAGAATTATCAGATCTTCTTTAACATTTACTCTTCCCAGCAGTTTTAGGAAGCATTCCACAAATAAGGAAACAGGTACATGGAGAGGGTAAGTAACTTGCACACGTGCCATGTGTGGTACTAAGATTTGAATTTATCTGTGACTCAGGAGCCCAAGCTCTTAGCCATTTCATTATACCACCCAACAGAAATACAAACTCCAGAAGGTCCAATGGTCACCTTTACAGAGGATTTTTATTTTGTTCTCCAAGTTCTCATAGGCCCCCATATGGTTTAAAAAGAAAAGAAAAAAAAGTGCAACCTTTACTTTTTTGGCAAGAAAGTTAAGGTCTGGGAAGATCCATACTTGTCCAAGGCCACAGAGTTAAGCGTGCCAGATCCTGGAATAGACTGCAGCTCTCTACAGTGCGTACCATGAGTGCTTTTGTATCTAGCCCTAGGGTGGGTGCCACAAAAGAAACAGAACAAGTCCTTTCCTAAAAGAATCTTATCATGACAACTTCACCCTCTGTAGCCTTTGCCTGGATGTTCATGTCACATCCTTGCCCTTTTGTCCCATTAGGTTTAGCCCTCAGTCTGTCTGGCTCAAAGCAGAAGAGCTTGGCTGCTCCCCTATCAGTGATTGAGCAGACTGCTTATTTTTCAGCCCAAGTATCTGGAAGCAGGCTCAGATATCTTGCCATGCACTTTTAAACCTTGAAACAGCAGTGAAGCCCCATAGATATGTTCAACCTCTGTTTGGTTTCACTAGTTTGTCATCTGGACATTTTAATGAAGCCACCAGGCCGAGAGAATAGTGGAATATTCTTCAGCTATGCAAGGGCAGGCACCTCCATGTCCCTGAAGGTGGCTGCTGTGAAAAAACAGCTCATGTTAGGGGCACAAGAACTGTGCCAATTCCAGTCCCGTCACTTGGGACCTACTGTCTAAGTCACTTATCCACTCTTGAGCAAGTTTCTTTCACCTGCCTGGAAGTCCATTTCCCATCCCACCAATCCATCAGTTTCTTGCTCATCCTTTAGCAGTGACATCACCTATTCTGAGTACCCGTTCCTCACCCAGGCTGGTTTAGGTGCCCCTTTCTACTCCCTTGGCAAGCTCTGCTTACCTATTAGACTTAAACACATCATACTGTAATTGCCTTACCTGTCTCCACCAAAAGCAACTTACCCATGGTAATCATGCAGAAATATCTGTTGAACATACCAGTCCTCAGGAGTAATTACCACTTACCTCATTGAGTGGTTGAGAATCTATAAACTGTAGATTGTTATTTGGTCGACTATTGACAATAGCTCCTCCATCTTTGAGTAGTGACCATAACTCAAGAATATGCCGCTCCATTTTCTCCCATTCTTGACCCTCTCCACCCATGCTATAGAAGCCTGTTCTCTGAGAAGGTAACCTTGAGCTTCTGGTTTTGTAGATGTCTATACTTGAGATCTGACAATGTGGTAGAAGGCAACTGTGCTGAAGTACTACTACAAAATGCCCATCGAGTTGTGGAGGAGTATTTTGTGGCCCCCCCAGGTATGTGTTCCCCAAAGTGGCTTATTAACAGATTGTCCCTCAGGTGAACTAAGAATATAGTAGGAGCTGTACAGTCCGAATTTGCTACATGAAAGTACTTTAAGAAGTATAAAGTGGGAATTACGTGAAGGTGGTCAAAAGGTACAAACTTCAGCATACAGCAGAATGACTGTAGTTAACAATATTGTATTCTGTATTTGAAAGTTGCTACGAGAGATCTTAAAAGTTCTTATCACAAGGAAAAAGTTGTAACTATGTGAGATGATGGATGTTAACTAATCCATTTTGCTATACATATATATATATCAAATCATTGGGTTGTACAACTTAAACTTAGACAATGTTGTATCTCAATGATATCTCAATAAAAGTGGAATGAAAAACCCCACATATATTAACAGTGAAAAAAAAGTGTAGGTGGTGGCAGTAGACTGGAGGGGTCACATGCACCTCTAGGGGCCAGTCTGTAATAGGAATGTGCAAAACAGGACTGGGGCGGGGAGGTGTGTATATGGTGTCAAATCCGGAGCTCAAGCTCTGCCTGAAGGGGCAACTAACACTCACTGCTTCTCATTCAGTGCCAGGCAGTAATGTGAGCCCATTTTCCCCGAGAACCTGGACATCTGGCATTTTCATGTGTGTGTGGTATTTCCCAAATTTTAAGTATGGGAACTAATTCAAAGATTTAAAAAAAAAAATAAATACCATGTAAATAAAACATACCTGCAAGCCAGATGCATCCTCTGAGCCATCATTTTGCAACCTTGGTGTTGAGATTTGCATCTTTAAAATTTACTGTGACTATTTTAAATAAAAACTTAAAATAACTCTGGGCTAATACTAAAATCCAGAGTCTTGGGTGGGTTGAACTTTTTAATCTCCTCTGCAGACACCTGCTGCACCCTTCTGGATATTTGGGAATGGGACTAGCTTGAGCACTCAGGTAGCTGGTTTTCCAAGTACCAGCTTCAGGTTCCGATCATCTCAGAGAACCATTCTAACTAGCCTCACAGACAAACACCAGTCCCCCAGCCCCTTCAGGGGTTACCTCTATGACCAAGACCAGCCAATTAAAGGAAAGCTTTGCTTAAAGCAAGAATGGGAAAGAAAGCTTAGAAAATTGTGGACTCGACTCTAAATCATGTCTCTGATTCACTAAACCACCTCAAATTAACTGGGAAGAGAAAAAAGATTTTATGATCTCTCTCAGAATCTGATAGTTGTCACTATTTTAGCAAACATAGCCATTGATCACATATGCTATTTGTCAAAAAGAACTTTGTGTCAGACTTTGCTTCTTGAGACAAAGTGAATTCACAATCATTAGTCTTTCCTTCCACTCCTATATGCATAGAACTGGCTAAACTGTCTCTGCTCCTTATTGAAAAGTGTGCATTTATTAGGCTTCACTTACAAGTGTTACTCTTTCAGACACTCAGAAAAACAGGATAGTAGCTACACTTATTTGCATTGCTTATTTTTCATCACAAACCAAGTGATAAGTTAGCTCAGTAGAACCAGCTGGGAAGCAGACTCAGCTATAACATTCTTTTTTGTTACTGTTTTCAAACAGGTAATATCTCTTTGCCAAAGCAGGATGAACAAGAGCCTTTTTCACACAACTGAGTAGCTATTCTGGGAATGGGTACCCTGTGAACACGTGGAAGCCCAAAGATAGTATTTCGTTACTGTGAACAGTAATGTTCCAACTTTCTTCAGTCACCTGAAAAAAACTGATGGTTAAGTATTTTTTAATAACTCTCTGAAGACAAAATTGGGAAATAATCTAGCCAAAACAAGGCAGTGAGTTCCTACTGCTACTGGAAGAGGTATTGTTACTTTCCAGGTATTTATTCACAGACTGTTCAGTATTTAAGATGTCATCCTCCTTTATCTCCTCTAGAGACTATCTACCAAACTGCACTTAAGTGAATTTTTCTGTTGATGTAACTATTAGACAGTGCATCTGATCACTATGTGACAACGGGTGTTGTACTTTTTAGTTGCTGTTTCTGTCAATCCAAGAAACCTTGTATCTTTACCAAATTCAGATTTGTTCCTGGGTACCCACTCTGTTTGTTCCCAGCAGAAGGCTAACTTTCTCCTAAAGTGTTAAGAGTATTCAAAGTAGACTCTACAGCTTGTGAGCTCCTAACCTACAATCATCCACCATCCCACAAAGTGATCACATGCAAAAAGGATGCTAGCCACAGCTACAGTTTTTCTGAAAAGAACCTATGTCAGAAATAGCCCTGGGATAGCTAACAGTACTGTACACTAAAAATTTGCCAAGAGGGTAGATTTTGTATTAAATGTTCTTACCACAAATAAATCTTAAAGGAGTAGGGAAGCAACTTTGGGAGGTGATGGATATGTTTATAGCCTTGATGGTGGTGATTCTTTCATGGATACACACTTAACCCCAAACTCACAGAGTTGTATAGATTAAGTACAACTTTTTACATGTCAATCATACTTCAATAAAGTGGCTTTTTTTAAAAAGCCCAGGCCTGGAAAAAAAGTAACTTCCCCACCCCCACCATGGTTACTGAATTGAGTAGAATCCAAGATAGTGGAGTTTTTTGGTTTTGTGTTTTAAGAAAGTTCAGATACCAAGGATAAATGAAACAGATTTACGGAAAGAAGTGATAGAACCAAAATTTAAAGAGATTCCCCCCCCCCTCAAACTGCCACATTTGGTTTTAAAATCTTCCAATGATCTTTATGCTGCTGCCAACTTTAAAAAGTCTTGTTTTATTCTTTCCATTTCTTTGCCCTATCTTAAATGCTCCCTTCTTCTTTAAGGCAGCTTTATTTATAAGCTTGGCCTTGAATTATAAGATAATCCTGAAGCAACTCTTGGGATTGAAATTCTCAAACCACCAACATAGCAACTATCTTTGTCCCCAAATAGTTATCCACTTCTGCTCCTTACCAACTGGGTATAAGCTGCTGCTACTACAACTCAATTACTTTTTTCTTTTTAATCAGTGTGCCTGTTTGGTGAAATCTATTAACTTAATCAAGGACAACCACACATATCAATTACTAAACGTTTAAAATATATTTCTAAACAGAATGGGCCGACTCAGTCACAGTAACTGCTGATCTCCATAGTAGAGCAACCCACAAAGACACAGCACTGATTTTTTTCCCATAATCAGGGGTGAAAAATATACAACTTATTTCTGAACCAAAACCACAATTTCTGCAGTTTAAAATGCTTCACTGCCAATATGGCCCTGGTAGAAATTATGTATTTTATTTCCTTAAAAAAAAATTAAAAAAATTTCCTAAGACACTAAATCATCAATCTGGAATGTAGATTCTGAGCACAAAGCAGCTCAGTTCACCTAAAAAATAAAGAAAAATTTCCCATCACCTGTCTCAGTAGGGCCTGAAAGGAGAGAAGTAGTGTGGGGAACCCCTGCTTTGGTATGGAGAGTCACGGCCCCTTGACCCAGACCGAGACCGTGAGTAGCCATAGCTGGTGCTTCTCTCTGGATAAACTCGGATGTAGGAAGTTTCACCCTGCAATTCAAACATAAAGAGTACAGGAAAAAATAAGACCCAGAAGAATACAGCACACTAATACCTAACATGGCTACCTAACAATAATAATTAAGTACTGAGCACTTACTGTTTTTCTGGCATGATGTTATCTCATTAAACCCTCACAATAATGCTATGAGGTAGATATGCTTACCAGCTCATTTCAAGAATGAGGAAAACAATGTTCTTATCTGTTCCAGTGTGACACAAATAATAAATGGCAACTTCACATGTGGTAAATGCTCAAATACTAGCCACTACTGTTAACATACCTGAATTACTGCCACTGACCCCTGAATCTAAGAACTAGAAAGGATCTCAGAGGTCATAAAATTCAATCCTCTGCCACTTCATATATGCATCTTTGGATAAATACCTATGGAAGAAGCTAACCTGTATTCAACACTTCTCAGGTGTCAGGATCTGGGTTAGATACTCAGTTATCTTCGTAAGTTAGCTTTTTGGCAAGTCTTACAAGACAGTGCTATTATTGTTCCTATTCTGCATATCAAGGAATCAAGGTTCAGAGCATAGCTCAGCTAAAAAATTATTAAATGGCAGAGGAGTCATGTCCAGGCTGGCCTGTGCCCTTTGCCCTCAGCCAACACTCTCAGAGGATCTAAAAATGCTAGGATGGGGGCGCCTGGGTGGCTCAGTTGGTTAGGCGACTGCCTTCGGCTCGGGTCATGATCCTGGAGTCCCAGGATCGAGTCCCGCATCGGGCTCCCTGCTCGGTGGGGAGTCTGCTTCTCCCTCTGACCCTCCTCCCTCTCGTGCTCTCTGCCTCTCATTCTCTCTGTCTCAAATAAATAAATAAAATCTTTAAGAAAAAAAAAAAAAATGCTAGGATGAAAGAAGTCGGACACAGAAGTCCCTAGGTGAAGTCAGTAATTAGATTTATCCTTACTGAGGCCCTGCTTTGCAGTATAACTGACGACCAGATCCTGTTTTGTTTCTGCTCCAAATTCAGTCTGAGCAAAAGCACTGTTAAGCTGTGTACTTTCCAAGTCATACAATTAGGGAACTATATGAATCCTTAGAGAAATAAATGGACCCCAGACATAGCTAAACCCCATAGTAAGTCAAGACAAGATAACCAGAAAAAGCAATGTCCAGTTGGGTCTGCTGTCTTATCTCAGTGATATCAAAGGGACAGTCAGCATGTGAATCAAATTGAGAGATCTAAAGCAGCGGCTGCCTTCGTGAAAGGAAAGACATCAAGAACTAAGTCCTGAGGATAAGGTGATTGTAAGAAAATGCATTACTCTGGGAAAGGAAAAATGAAGTGATAACTTGGCACAACAGCAGTACCTTAGGAGAGCTGAGATGATGAGGTTGGCTTGCAGAGCCCAGACTAGACCCAGAGGAGAGACAACCATAATAATTAGGTTCACAGAAGTACATAACAGATTAAGCCAGTTGTGAAAGGGATGGTATCACAGAATAGCTCACCACATTATGACAGACTGCACCAGTATTCTCTCCAGGTTAAAAACACTATGACTACAGACTCCTCTCTGTCATGACCCTGAAGGGTTTGGGCATGATGAATTCCTTGGCTTCATCTACTTAAGATAGATCTTTAATGGTACTGTGAGGTCATAAAATGGCAAACACATGGCCTGTTCCTACTTCTGCTAGGTCAGCTTCAGGTGGAGTGGCTTAGGTGCAAGCTCAAAAGAAGGTGGGAACTCACCTCATGAGAGCGGAATTTGGTGTCATCCAGTTTACGCAGGGCGTATTCCATGTCTTCTTTTCTGAGATATTCAACCATCCCCATTCCATCCTTCTGCACATCTGCATAACAGACATCCCCAGCTTCTCGCATGTGATCCTTCAGGTCCTGCCAGCTGCCTGATGGCGGAAGTCCTAGGCATGGACAACATAAAAGGCCATATCCTTCAGCCATGTTAACCGACCTGTTAAGAGCCAGCAATACCTAGGTTCCCTTTTTCATCAATCATTACTTTACAATCCTGAGGATCCCCAAATCACAAATCGTAAGGGGCATAAAACCAGCGAAGAGTACTAAAGTATGTGTGGTAAATCACCATAAGAAGCTGGTCCTAGGCTAATCTTCCAGAGACCAAGCTCTTCCAACAGAGCAAGAAGTCCACCCCATTACAGATTTAATATCTCTGAGAATTCATAGCCTTTCTTTAGCCTTCGTATTTAATATCAAGCTCCCAAGACTTTGAGTTCTAATTTTCTCCATTATGAAATTTATCAGTACCAATTATCTCTTGCTTGACTGGGTTCTCAGGACATGGGAATTTTGTTTTTTTTTTAAAGATTTTATTTATTTATTTATTTGAGAGAAAGAGAGAGAGAGAAACAGCATGAGAGGGGAGAGGGTCAGAGGGAGAAGCAGGCTCCGCGCTGAGCCGGGAGCCCGATGTGGGACTCAATCCCAGGACTCCGGGATCATTACTTGAGCCGAAGGCAGTTGCTTAACCAACTGAGCCACCCAGGCGCCCGTGGACATGGGAATTTTGAAACTATCCAATGAAAGTAACCAAGGCGTAGCCGAAGGTGACAACACAACAAAAATCTAAAGTTTGTTTTCTTGTAGGTGTCAATGACTAACAAACTAAACAAAGTACCTTTCAAAAGATCACCAACATTCTTCAATACAGTGGGGGAAAAGGTAAGACTCAGACGCTACAACTAGTCGGGAATTATACAACCCTACCTGATGTCATGAAAGGGAAATGTGCTCCTGCTCTCAAAGGCTGTGTTTACCGCTCACAGCTCAGGATTGCAGCCATTTCCTAATAGTTTTCTAAGCAGGATTTCAGAGCAGCATGGAGAGAAAAAAAGATATGTATGACATCCTGAAGGAGGGAATAGAGTTCTGGGGTTAAAAAATTACAAAGGGACACAAGATAGGCAGATACTGAGAGGATCACTCCGAAGTACCATGGGGGTCTGCTGTAACTGTGTGACATTCACATCTAAGAAAGTGCCAGGTTTCTCAATACATTTCACTCCACCATGGTCCTAAAATGCCCCTGCAATGTGCAGAAGGCCCCAGGTCTTTACCACTGTTTTAGTATTTTGAAAAGATGCATAAACGTCTGAGCTTGGCATTTCATCACTTGTCAACACTAGACATTTCATTCTGTATTCTGCAGTACAACCCCTAAAACTCCAAGTTTTTTGTTTTCTTTTTTATATAATTCCAAAGCCACCACCAAAATCTGGCCTTTTCCAGCATCCAAGGCTAGGCAGTAGTTCAAATCTGGTTCCTTGAATGTCTACCAAGTCTGATACCAAGTACATTACAAAAGAAAACATCTCTATAGAATTCTAGCTCACAGGGTTTTGCCCTCATCTTCCCTCTCAACACTAGAAAACTTTATAAGAAGCAAGTTGATGTTCTACCAAGGCTACACTACCACTGCAGTTTCATTTGCAAGATACCTGCCTCAGTGGCAAGACGGCAGGTCTTCCGACTGCACAGGCTATTGAAAAGAAAGCCCCACATGTCCCATGCACTGAAGAGTAACAACTAACGTTTCTTGGAGGCCAGACTGTGTGCTAAGTATTTTACATGCATCATCTCATTCAGTTTTAAAGGAACATACCTGAAACAAGAACTCGGAAATCAGATCTTCTTGTAGGAGGACCATTCCTCCCACCACGGGGCCACCCACCCCGACCGCCATAAGTCCTGGGGAACTCCACACGAAGCCGACACTGGCCATAATCATAACCATTCCTTCCATAAATTGCATCTTCAGCATCTCTGCAAAGAAAGGTTTGGAGTTAGTGCTGCTCAGGAGGCTGACTTCCCAGTGAGGGACCTGAGGAACAAGTATAAAAGGGAAACCTGGAGTCAGAAAAATAAAAAGTCTTGATACACTACTGGTTTTGTGTGAAGACCTTTCATGATATTAAAATTAAACTTTACAACTGTCACACACACGGTTTTCTAGGTATGGAATGATAATAAAGGGGTAAATAGATGACTTATAAGAGGACTAATTTAGAAAAAAAAAAAAGCTGACAGAGGATATGATTTCACCAGTATATTTATTTCTCTAACCCCGTGAGCAGTTTCTCAAAATGCCCAGCACACACTAGTCCTTTAATATTCTTCAACAAGGCCTAGTACCATTAAGTCTCTAGAAAGAAAAATTCATTTAAAAAGAAATCAGGGGCGCCTGGGTGGCTCAGTCATTAAGTGTCCGCCTTCAGCTCAGGTCATGATCCCAGGGTCCTGGGATCGAGCCCCACATCAGGCTCCCTGTTTGGCGGGGAGCATGCTTTTCACTCTCCCGCTTCCCCTGCTTGTGTTCCCTTTCTTGCTGTGTCTGTCAAATAAATGAATAAAATCTTCAAAAAAACAAAAAATTAACTCTTCAAAAGAAAAAAAAAAAGAAATCAGGCTCAAAAGACAGATGCTTTGTGTTTTGTGAGAAATTCGCAACTCTAGTGTACCTTTTCATCACGGTTTGGAAAACTTAAGTTGTGAAGACCACTCTCTGGGTACAGTTCTGCCAAAAGAGGAAATATTCCATGAAGTTACTTTCAGTCTTCCCTAGGGCTCTAGGAGAACCAAGGTGGTTCTCCAGTATTGGATTGGAGAAAGAATGGCCTCAGAGCTTAGATGGACAAGCAGAGCCAAAGATGTACTAATGAAGGCATCATTCAGTTGTCACAGGCACATAATTGCTTATCAAGATTCTAGTCACAAGGTTAAAAGCAATGAGGGCCACGACCAGTGCAACCCTGGCTATATTTACAATGAAGTGAAGGAGAGGCAGAACTGCTAGGGTTGAAGTGCAGATTTTGAATACTGATTGACAAGTTCAAACCCTTTTTCTGCTACTGACTAGAAGCCATCTTTGGATAAATGCTTATATAATTTTCACATCTCTTAAATGTGAGTAATATGTCTACCTCACAGGGTTATTGTAAGGATTAAATATGATACTATGTGTGCAGTGCTTTGCTAGAAACTTGGCATCTAGTGATATTAAAAGACAGCTTTTCTATTACGGAAGAAAGGAGGGAAGAGATGACAATGTAGCATATCATACACTGTTTGTGTTTTAAAGAGCAGCATAGGGGGTTCAAATCCTACCTTGATCCCTTACTAGCATTCTCTTTTATCAGCAACTTTAAATCCTCAGTTTCTTCATTTGTAAAATGTGGCTAACGCTACCTCTTTTGTAGGTTGTTGAAAATACTGAAGTGGTACTTGACATGTGGTGAATGTTCAAAAAACACACTGGAAGTGTTACAGAAGGTTACAGTGCAACCTTCTCCAGTTTAGGTGTGAAAATACCTACTTCCGTTTTTGAGGGAAATGGCAAGGCGCTAAGAATGAGCTTTGTCAGTCATCAAAGCCTCAAGGTGCTTCCTACCTCCCTGTCCTCAGATGCCCTCCTTGGCCTATACCACCACACCAGGTAGGCAAGACACCCTATGGACAGTCCTTGTAGTGAAGCCTGCGGGGCGCAAACTAGGTAAAGCATTCCCTGGGTCACTGCTAGAAAAGAGAGTGTGCTCTTATTTACCCCAAGTGCAGTGACCAGTCCATGCGGCGGCTTCTAAGAACCATCAACCGCAGTTTTGAAAGTTCCCAGGCCTTTTCTGGCTGCAAGGTCGACAAAGTTTGCAAAATCACAAAGAGCCCTTTGAGCCAGTTTAGGGATCGAGAGCTTCCAAATGCTTGGGGCCCTAAGCATCTAGCGGTGCCTCCCTCGTTAGAGGAGTGGCGTGAAATCAGAGACCCCCTCAGACCGTTTTAGAAGTTTTTCCATATCCCTGGTGCTTTTATAAGGACGAGGTCGTGGCCTTGCAGGGCGGGGCGCGCGCGGATAGAGATCTGTTCCATCACAGAGACCCCTTTACGACCTCCAAAGGCGACCACAGCCCCGCAGTGTGTTCCCCCCTAACGGCGAGTTCTGGCTGGGGGGAGGGGTGGGCAGGGAGGGGCGAATGGCCACTTCTGCTCCTCACCGAGTCCTCTCCCGGATGGTTCCGGGCCGCTTCCCCTGAAGGGTGCCTCTCCAGCCGTGAGGGAGAGGATGATCGTATGGACCATCCCCGAGACCGGTCTGGGCGGGCTGGAGCCCTCCAAACGCCCAGCTTTTGTGTTTTTAAGTAAAGTAAAAAAAAAAAAGAAATAATCCTAGAGGAAGTGACGACGGAGCAAGGAACGGCCGGAGCCTGCGGTGAGAGGAGGCCTCATCCTCCACCCGGGGGCGCCGTGAGGGGTCTGCGCGGAGGGGGGGAGGGGAGGCCCCGGAGGGGAGAGGGAGGAGGGAAGGCCGGGACCCGCGGCCTCAGGCGGGCGGGCGGAGCGGGGCCTCACCGGGGGTCCTCGAAGCGCACGAAGGCGAAGGGCACGAGGCCGTGCCGGTTCTTGAGCTCGATCTCGCGGATGCGGCCGTACTTGTAGAACAGGTCCTCCAGGTCCTTCTCGCGCACGTCGGTCGGAAGGTTCCCCACGTAGATACGCCCGTCTCCCTCGCCGCCGCGTTCGTCCGCCCAGCCCGACATCCGCACCGCCCGACGCCGCGGGCCCGCCGCAGCCCACGTCGCCGCCGCCGCCTCAGCCGGGGTCCCCCCGCAGCGTCCCCGCGGGCTCCGAGGCGCTCAGCCGCACTGCATTGTGGGAACGGCGGAGCGGAAGTGAAGGGGTCGGAGGAAGCAAAAGGAATCGTCTTAAAGGGGACGCGGCTGCGATGACTGCGCGTGCGTGCCGGCCGGCGCCCCCTGTAGGTGCGTGCGGGCCCGGGGGCAAAGAGAGGGAGAGCTTGGAGTCGGGCGAATTGGGTTCGATTTCCAGAATTCTCTGAAGGCAGTTCCCTCGCCGGCTTCATGGACAAGTGGCCGGGACATGGAAAAGTGACTCGGGCCTCCTGGGCCTCTAGTTTTCTGCCTTCGTAGCGCTGTCTACCTCACAGGCTTTTGTGAGCACTCCCTGAGGTGACGCGGGTAGTGGCCAGTGTGGGCCCCGCGGGCTGTAACTCTGCGTGCGGGGCGCGGGAGGGAGGGAGCCAGGCCTGAAGGAGTCCCGGATGGTGGGCTGGGTGGGGCTGTCGCGGCCCTCAGACTCAGGTCAGTAGCCCTCTGGGCGACCCTGCCCCCATTTTACAATCGCTTAGAACTGAGGGTCTAAGGTGGACTAAAGCTGGGCGTGAGGGGCCTGAGATGGCCTCCAGAACTTGGGCTTGGCATTCAGGGGAGACTAGGAGGAAGTAAAAGAGTCTCAGCTATCTCAGCTGTCGCTATAGAGTGCCTCCCACTATTTGTGCTTTTAATCCTCACCAAAGATGATGGGATTCCGATATTACAGGTGAGAAAACTGAGGTCTTATAGTGGGGTCAGGGTTAGAACCTGAAGCCGTGCCCCCACCCTGTGGGCCGAGCCTCTCAGGAGCTCAGGGAGACTGCCATCTTGGCACTGCTTCACATTTACCTCCCACAGTTCAGGGCACTGAACCTGGGGACGTTACAAAAATAGACATCTAAAAAGAGCTTGTATATTAAAAATGAAACCTCTGGGGAAAAAAAAAAGAAATCTCTGTGGATTGATGCGTGGGCAGATACGCAAAAGCAAATACAGCGGAATGTCACGTGTAGAATCTAGACGGTGCGTTCAGTATGTTCAGTGTACCATTCTTTCAGCCTTTTTGTATATCTGAAAATGTTTATAATAAATGTTGGGGGGCAGGTCTGAAACTTGTGAAAAACAAACTCTAGGGGCGCCTGGCTGGCTCAGTCATGGATGACTCTTAGATCTCCGGGTTGTGAGCTTGGACCCCACGTTGGGTGCAGCGATTACTAAAACAAATAAACTTTAAATAAACAAACAAGCAAGAACTCCATTAATGCTAGCAATAGCAAGAGAATAAAACTAAACATTTAATCTGAAGGTACAGTAGTTGCTTTGTAGTTATACCACCTCTGAGGCCTTTTTTTTTTTTTTTTAAGTAGGCTCAAGCCCAGCGTGGAGTCCAAGGTGGGGCTTGAACTCAGGACCCTGGGATCAAGACCTGAGCTGAGATCAAGTCTCAAGCTCAACAGACTAAGCCACCCAGGCGCCCCCACCTCTGAGCCTTTTAAAATTAAAAAATATATAGAAATAAAAAAATTAGGCATCCTCCGGGCGCCTGGGTGGCTCAGTTGTTAAGCATCTGCCTTAGGCTCAGGTCATGATCCCAGGGTCCTGGGAGCGAGCCCCCCTTGTCCTGCTTCTCCCTGTCCAGCAGGGAGCCTGCTTCTCCCTGTCCTGCTCACCTCTGCTTGTGTTCTCCCTCTCGCTCTCTGTCTCAGATAAATAAAACCTTTAAAAAAAAAAAAAAAGGCACCCATGCATAACTACTGAGTGTATAACCTTTTTGGAAGGTAGATTGATGTTATACATCAGGTCCTGATAATATACATACAGCTCTTGGTCCAGTAATTTCACTTGTAGGATTTTATCAGGAAATAGGAAATCCTTACAATAAATTATGTATGTTCATTGCATTCTGTGCAATTAAAAATTTGAACCCCTAATAATAAGGGAGTGGTTCAACATAATAATTTTGAATGTTACATAGTTATAAAATGATATTTTGAAGGATATTAAGGTCATGGTAATTTAGTTATAATTAAAATGAATTTAAAATGTTGTTTAAGGACCACCTGCATGGCTTCAGTCAATTGAGTGGCTGACTCTATCTTGGCTCAGGTCTTGATCTCACAGTTGTGAGTCTGAGCCTGCATTGGGCTCTGCGCTGGGTATGGAGCCTACTTAAAAAAAAAAAATGTTGTTTAATAAATACATTAGACACATGTAAGTATATGTTCTCAAGGAATCCATTAAATTGGTTGATGCCAGTTGTGTCCAAAGAATGCAGTTGTGGGAACTTTCACTTTAGACCTCATACATCTCTGTAAAGTTAAAAATAGTTACTGCAAGTATCTTTCATTTTTATATTCTGAAAAAAAAACAAAAAGGGAAACAAAATTTAAGCAGTACTATCCAGTTCTGTTCAAGGGAATACACACACACACACACACACACACACTCACTGGAGGTTCCTTAAAAAAAAAATATATATATATATACACACACACACACATACATATATACATATTCATTGCTTGTAACGAGAAAGCATAGAAGAAAATAACTTTCCAAATGTTTGTGGAGATATCTCTTGTTGGAAATGATTTCTATATTTTTATTTATGCTGTTCTGTATTTATCAAATTGTCTGTAATTAGCATGTACTACTTTTATAATTGGAATAAAGCACAATAAATTATTTCTAAAATAAAACAGAACCATCTGTTGTATTCTGGATTATGTAAAGTTTCTATTTGTTCTTTGCTAGCCTTCAGAAGTCAAGCAGGAAAGAGCCTTGGCCAAATATGATCTTGAGTCAAAGTACAAAACCTTATAGGAGCTTACACATCCTAAAGGCATCCAGAAGTCCAGATGCCTCCCCATTTGGGGGGTGTGTTTAGGTGTGTTGATAGCACCATCTGACTCCTACCACTTCTACATAATTGTTGCCTGGAAAGACCCTCCCTCCCCCCCCCCCCAAAAAATGCTGGTTGGAGACAATTTGGTTATCTCCTAGGGAGAGAAGTGAACTAAGTAGCCTACTAGGACTCAACGTGGAAGATTGCTTATAAATAGTAATGATTCAGCTTATATTGTGCAGTCTCGCAGCATGCAATCACCAGAGGGGTTCATGTCTAGCTTAGAAAATGTTGTGCCCTGATGTGGAGATAGGGCCAAGTAAAGCCTTCCAGAATTAGAAGGAACACAGCTAAATTGCTAGGGGGCATTTATGATCATCCATAGAACCCTAAAGGTGGATTTTTTTTTTTTTCTGTGAACCCAGGTACTAACCTTTGCAGGTTAGAACACAAACAAGGCCAGAATTATGGGCTTAATGCATAAGGGGCTCATGGGTTCCATTCTCTACTAAGGCCACAGACCCTAGGCGGGAACATGCTTTTGAGCTTTTGTTTATCTAGTTATTCAGCATCATTGAGTACAACGCTATAATTGAGGCCCTGTAAGAGGCCCAAGGCATGCAGTAATACAATTCTGTCCTCGAAGTGTATATTCAAGCTGCTATTCAAACAGCCATTGAGAGCACATTTGTGATAAGGGTAAACTGCTGTGAGACCACCTAACTCAGTCTTAGAGATTATAAGGCAGGCTTCCAGGAGGAGGTGTTTAGGTTGAGCCCTGAAAGACCAGTAGGAGTTAATCATAGGGAAAAAGGGGAGCATGACAGATCGCCCACACAGAAGAGAGCACAGCAGACCAGGGGCGATCCCCACTACCCTACGGTATGGCTGGGGCAGAGGGTTCAAGTGGGTAAGATGGAGGAGAAGGAGCTGGGGCTGGGGCTTGCAAAGCCTAGTAGACCATGTTATGGAGTGTGGACTCTACTGAGTGCAGTGAGTAGCCATGAAGGGCTTTAAGGAGTTCTGTTGGGATGAGATAGTTTCAGAAGGAAATGGCAGCTGAAAGGATTAGAGAGAAGGAGTAGGAGATAGGGAGGAGGAGACAGAGAGCTAATTTGACTAGAGGGCAGCTGCGGGATAATAGGGGAAGAAAGGGAGTGAGGGAGAGGTGTGGCAATACCTGCCATAATGAGGTGGGGAGAGAGGAGAGACGAAGGGTCTGTGTAGGAAGTATTGCTGTGTAATTGCAGTGTAAGCCCCTTCCTGGGACTTCACAGATCCCTTCATTTAAAACTACATTATCCATTAGTGATTTTGCAGTTGGATTCTTACTGTTCTGGGAAGATATGAGAGTGTAGTCAGATTGGCCTAAGGTGAGTAAAGGTAAGAACAGAGATAGCCCCAAATGGCCCACTGACTAGCAGGTTACAGGAGGAAGTAACATGGGAGCCAGTGCAGGGAGACCCCAGCTGGGAGACCACTGCAGTCCTCCAAGCAAGAGATGCCAGTGGCCTGATGTAAGATGATAGAGATACATACTAAGGAGGTGAGTTATCCCAAGGAGACAGTATCATAGGACATGGAGATAGACCGGGTGTGGGGGGCTGGGTGAGGAGGAGTTCAGGTTGATTTCCAAGTTCTTGGCTTGAGGAACTGGTTATGCAGTGGTAGCATTCTGAGATGGGGAATAAAGCAGAAGGAAGTGATCTACATGGAATGGACAATGATGACGAGTTCAGATGCGTGTGAAGAACATGAGGAAGGATAAGAAATGTGACGGCTCTAGGCTCTATGTGCCTTCTCCATTAATTCCGGGTGCATGACCTGATGATGGTGGATTGGCATCAGAGTTTTCAGATAGGACTGCTCTTTCTTTCTTTCTTTTTAAGATTTTATTTATTTATTTGACAGACAGAGACACAGTGAGAGAGGGAACACAAGCAGGGGGAGCGGGAGAGGGAGAAGCAGGCTCTCCGCTGAGCAGGGAGCCCGACATGGGGCTCGATCCCAGAACCCTGGGATCGTGACCTGAGCCGAAGGCAGATGCTTAAGGACTGAGCCACCCAGGCGCCCCAGGACTGCTCTTTCTACAGGGATAAGCTTTCACCTGAAATATTTGGGAGCTCAATCCTAATATGAAGATAAGAATGGCACTGTTGGGCTTATCTTCAGATTGAAAAGAAGCCTTTGACCTTGGCAGAGTGTTAAGAGTTAATGTATTTC